GCAGCTGCAGGAAAGCCAACAAGAGCACAGACTGCCACTGCATCCACTGTACAACCCCCTGTCCTCCTCCCCAAGTTCCAGATCTTCCTCACCTAGACGCCCACCACACCATAAACATCTCCCCCTTACTCTCACAGATATTATGGAGCACACAGCAAGCAGTAATAACATTGGGAATATTAGTTGCGCTGAGGTCAAACCTAGTCAGCAAACAGCACCAGTGAACTTTTAAATGTCCAAAGGCACATTCTACCACCATTCTGCACTTGCTCAGCCTATAGTTGAACTGCTCCTTACTACTGTCCAGGCTACCTGTGTATGGCTTCATGAGCCATGGGAACAAGGGGTAGGCTGGGTCCCCAAGGATAACTATTAACTTTTTAACATCCCCAACAGTAATTTTCTGGTCTGGGAAATAAGTCCCTTCTTGCAGCTGCTCAAACAGCCAGGAGTTCCTAAAGATGTGAGTATCATGCCCCTTTCTGGGCCATCCCACATTGATGTTGGTGAAACATCCCTTGTGATCCACCATTGCTTGTAGTACCATTGAGAAGTACCCCTTGCAGTTTATGTACTGGTTGGCAAGGTGGTCCAGTGCCAAGATAGGGATATGTTCCTTCTATCACCCCACCACAGTTAGGGAAACCCATTGCAGTAAAGCCATCCACTATGACCTGCACATTTCTCAGAGTCACTACCCTTGATAGCAGAACTTCAGTGATTTCATTAGCTACTTGGATCACAGCAGTCCCCACAGTAGATTTGCCCACTCCAAATTGATTCCCGACTGACCGGTAGCAGTCAGGCGTTGCAAGCTTCCACAGGGCTATTGCCACTCGCAACTGTCAGGGCAGTTCTCATCTTGGTATTCCTGTGCTTCAGGATGGGGAAAAGGATGGGGAAAAGCAACTCACAGAGTTCCAGGAAAGTGGCCTTACGTATGCGAAAGTTTCGCAGCCACTGGGAATCATCCCATACCTGCAAGACTATGCGGTCCCACCAGTCTGTGCTTGTTTGCCTGGCCCAGAATCGGTGTTCCACTGTATCATCCAGCCCCACTGCTGCCATGATGTCCCAATTGCCACAGCCCGTGCTTTCAGGAATGTCTGTGTCCATGTCCTCTTCACAATCGTCCTCATGCTGCCATCTCTTAGCCAGGTTCTGTAGTATAATGTGCGAGGTGTTTACAATGCTCGCAACAGCAGCAGAGAGCTGAGCGGACTCCATGCTTGCCGTGCTATGGCGTCTCCACGGGTAACCCAGGAAAAATGGCGCAAAATGATTGTCTGCAATTGCTTTTACAAAGGGAGGGAAGGAACGGAGACTGACAACATGTACCCCAAACCACGACAATGTTTTTGCCCCATTAGGCATTGGGAGCTTAACCCAGAATTCCAATGGGCAGCAGAGACCGTGGGAACTGTGGGATAGCTTTCCACAGTGCACCACTCCGTGAGTCGATGCTAGCCACGGTAGTGAGGACGCACTCCGCCGACTTAATGCGCTTAGTGGGGACATACACAATCGACAGTATAAAATCGATTTCTAAAAATCGACCTAATTTCGTAGTGTAGTCCTAGTCTATCAGATAAAGTAAACAAATAACAGGCCAAGGCATTGTGGTTTATATTCAGGGAATTTAAATAATTAATTTAAATCACTCGATTTAAAAAAATAATTTATTTAAATCAGGTTGAGGCTTTGTGAGATGGTTACAAGGCAAGCTGCACTCAGATACCTTTTAATCTCTCTCAGGTGTACCTTTCTGGGGACAGATTTTGCCACCATCACCCCTCCTTCTCTGGGAGCAACAATGTGGTTCTAAACTGGATTTCTGGGCTGCAGGCCCCCTCTTTACCATCTGTGTTAACCCAACAGGCTCAACTGCATTTAGCACCTGTAAGCTCTTTACCTCCAGGAGCCTATGACAGCAGCTGATTAAAGTGACTCAAAAACAACTTCTTCAAAACAAAGCATTATTTATTCACTCTACCTACTCAGTAAGCAGAGCAAATGTATATAACAAAGAAGACCTATTTACATTTCCCCTTACCAAAACCTTATCTTTCCTTGCAAGCTTTAGTAAGTTCCATTCAGCCCAGTTACCTCCATCTCTGAGTTGGGAGCAATAGTGTGCCTTGCTGCAGTGTGCTCTCTCTCTCTCTTTCTTTGAATCCCCATCAATGCTCACTGACACTCCCTGGGGAGCCCCTGGCTACTCACTCAAACCCCTCACTGCCCCCCTTCTTCTCTAGGCTAGCATCCCCTTTGATCCTTGGTTTGGCCTGGAAGGAGTAAACTTTGCCATCTTAGCTGGAGCCAGGCCGGAGGTATTTGCCATATATAGGGCCCTACCAAATTCACAGTCCATTTGGATCAATTTCATGGTCATAGGATTTTAAAATTGTAAATTTCATGATTTCAGCTATTTAAATCTGAAGTTTCACGGTGATGTAACTGTAGGGGTTCTGACCTAAAAAGGAGTTGTGTGGGGGTTGCAAGGTTACTGTAGGTGGGGTTGTAATACTGCTTCCCTCACTTCTGCGCAGCTGCTGGGGCAGCGCTGCCTGCAGAGCTTCGCAGCTGGAGAGCGGTGGCTGCTGACCAGGAGCCCAGCTCTGAAGGCAGAGCCACTGCCAGCAGCAGTGCAGAATAAAGACTGGCACGGTATGGTATTGCCACCCTTACTTCTGTGCTGCTGCCTGCAGAGCTGGGCCCTCAGTCACCAGCCACCGCTCTCTGGCCGCCCAGCTCTGAAGGCAGCAGCGCTGAAGTAAGGGTGGCATGCTACGGATTTCCATCCTTACTTCTGTGCTGATGCTGGTGGGGCGCTGCCTTCAGAACTGGGTGCCCAGCCAACAGCCACTGCCCTCCGGCTGCCCCGCTCTGAAGGCGGCACAGAAGTAAGGGTGGCAATACTGTGATCCCCCTAAAATAACCTTGTGACTCCCCTGCAACTCCCTTTTGGGTCAGGACCCTCAATTTGAGAAACACTGGTCTCCCCCATGAAATCTGTATCGTATAGGGTAAAAGCACACCAAAGACCACATTTCACGGTTCATGACGCGTTTTTCAGGGCCATGAATTTGGTAGGGTCCTAGCCATATGTGTTAGTTACAAGGTATCAGTGGGTTTAATTAACAAATAAACACTCTCCTGATGGGTTTGCAATCTAAATGTTGCAGCTTTGTGCTCATTCAGGAGACCCAGGAAGTAAAATACACTAGAACTAAAAATAAAAATAAATAATTTCAATTTTCAAGCTAAGGGAAATGCAAAAATAAACGAATGGCAAAAGGGTAAATTCAAATGTAAAAATTGTCATTTTTAATAATCAATGGTGTTATTACTAAACTAGAGAAATATATGATTTTAAAATAAGATTTACCTTAAAGTTTCACCATCAGGTTAAAAACACGTGTTATAACATGTGCACTATATAATCATGAATAGATCCTTATACTTGTCTGCTGTGTTTACAAAGAATTACTGTTCCATAAAAAGGCACTCCAAGTACTAAATAAACTTAGATCTACTTTTGCTTCTGTTTTTAAAAGCAACATTTTTAAAAGAAGTGTGTGTTAAAAGAGCAAGTGTTAAAGAGTTCCAGAACCATTTAATGTAGAGCTTTATGAAAATAAACATGAAGTAAGGTAAGAACTATTTGTTTAATCTGGATACAGCTCTATTTGCATTCATGCAGTTCCCTGTCTGAAATTACAAAACAGCTGTAGATATGTGGATTATGAAAGTGATTTACCTTCAAGTACGATTGTTACTGTTTGATTTTTGGGTTGAAATAAGCCAAAATATGCTTTTCACAGAGACCCGTCCCCTCCCCAACCTCCCATTTCACATTAAGAATTTAGTTCTTGGAAGATTACTTAGTAAAAGTCAGCATATTGGCTTAGCATACTGAACAGCAACTAAATATAGTATTTATGTAATTAAATTTATTTATGCCTCATCTGTTGGAGAGGCTGGTTCCATTCTAAAGGCTAGAACTTTAGCCAGGAAGTTTATGAATCAGTTTTCTATAATTGACAAAGGGGTGTGCTTTTTTTATAAGGATTAAAGGGAGACGCAGTATTTCTGGAGTGAGGTAAAAATCTGCAGCCTTCATGAAATTGCAGCAAGTTGTTTTGGTGGCCTATAGCTAAAGATTGGAAGTTGTGCCAACGTGAGTAATTTTCACTGTTGGTACATGCTCCAGTTTGTCTCTCCAGTTTGCCTAACTTAGCTTCAAAATCACTATAAACACATCAAGAACAGAGAGGAGGTGCTCAAGGGGAATTCTTACTGAATTATTACTGGGGACCAGGTTCCAACCACCACTACTACTAATATGAAAGAGACCCATGTTAGCCATCCTTCTAAGTCTGGATGAAAAACATTTGGGGGAAAAATATGACATTTGACCTGGAAAATTGTAAATTGGCAGTGTACTAGCTATACAGGGAGCCAGCACAAACACAGAGAAAATACTTCTAATAAAAATAGTATCACTTTAAGTCATCATAACCAAATTCTACCCAGAAGTCTTGTTAAACAGGTTAACCCCCTTTATTTCTGTAAAGAGATAAAAACAGATATTTAAAAACAAAGTATAGTTTTACCACTAATGTTCCTTTTATTTCTTGTATTTTCCACTATTTAACTCTATTGCAAATTGTTAATTTATATCCCTAAAAATGTGTATGTTTCTTCCTTATATGCTTTTTCTTTACTATAACAAGCTTCCTTATGGAAGTATCTTTAAAATACAATATTATTTATAGCAGAGGAAGAATTAATTAACTTGTCTTATATATGGTGATCTCATCATTTTAGTATTTGCCAGTATTGAACTGTTTGAGTCTGGTTTGCTCAGCTGCTGCCTCTGCAGTTGATTATTTAGGGCCCCAGCCTCATGGGAGCAGTCATTTTGTTTTTATTATTAACACTATAGATACCTGCACGTCTGCTAAATTCCAGACTGTATTTTGCCTTTTCTGTCTTACCATGAATGCTTCCCAATAGAATATCACCAGCTGTTGAAGACAGAAATGAAGATTCTGCATAAAGATATTTGGTTTTCAACAAACCATCTTCAGTAGAAATTTTGATGGATGTCCCCTGTAGTTTCTCTATATTCACACTCTGTAAGAGAAACAAGCTGAAATAAGAACCATGGAAATATGCCCAGGCTCTTTGAGGGGCAACAGAACTACATGGCACACATTTACCCAGATACAAAACACAAGTGGAGTGTCAGATCCCAGCTAGAAGCTAAGTAACACACAAAATAAAATAAATCATCATATTTTGCACTTCCATTCAAGGACTTTAAATCACTTTAGAAGTACAAACTGAATTAATCTTCACAACATCCCTATGTGGAAAGGAAGTATTATTATACTCATTTTATAGGTGGAGAACCTGAGGAACAAAGAGGTTAAAAGGATTTTTAAAGGCAACACAATGGAGTCTTTGGCACATCCAACAATAAGGTTCCAGTCCTGTGTTTTATTCACATGATCCCAAACAAGGGGAGTTAAAGATCTCAGCCAGAACCTACAAAATGAAGTTTAATCTGTTTCAAAATAAGTTACTGAATATGATCAAAATTAATAACTGAGGGTTAGTGATCTTGAGACAGACTTTTGCAGATATTTAAGAGATGAAGTTAAGATGGCGTGCTTTGATAGGAAGTAGTTTACTGTATTACTGTCGTGCCTAATCCATAGGCCAGGACCCCAAGCTAAGCAGAGCCTTAAAGGTGAAGGCAAGGGGTTTAAATCCAATATGGCTGGAGAGACAGGAAAGGAATTTGAAGGTATCATCTTGGACAGACTGGAGGGGTACAGAGTGGGGGTAAGTAGAACTTGGCCTTTGTGCAAATAGTCAGACTTATGACGATTTGGACATACACAGAGGAGATACATTCTCATGTGATTACACAGAAAAGAATTAAATTCTTATAGATTCATAGATTATAATATCAGAAGGACCACTAAGATCATCTCGACTGACCTCCTGTATGAAACAGACCATAGGATTCCCTAAATTAATTCCTGTTTGAACTAGAGCACAACTTGTAGAAAAACATCCAATTTTGATTTTAAAATTGGCAGTGATGGAAAATCCACCACAATCCTTGGTAAACTGTTCCAACAGTTACTTCACTGTTAAAAATTTGTACCTTATTTCCAGTCTGAATGGCTCTAACTTCAACCTCTAGCCATTGGATTATGTTATACTTTTCTCTGCTAGACTGAAGTGTCCATTATCAAATTTTTGTTCCCGATCTGGGTGCTTATAGACTGTGATCAAGTCTCCTTTTAACCTTCTCTTTGTTAAACTTCAGTAGAACCTCAGAGTTACGAACACCTCAGGAATGGAGGTTGTTTGTAATTCTGAAATGTTTGTAACTCTGAACAAAATGTTATGGTTGTTCTTTCAAAAGTTTACAACTGAACATTGATGTAATACAGCTTTGAAACTTTACTATGCAGAAGAAAAATGCTGTTTTCCCTTTATTTTATTTTTTACTAGTTTACGTTTAACACAGTACTGTACTGTATTTTTTTTTTTTTTTGGTCTCTGCTGCTGCTGATTGTGTACTTGCAGTTCCAAATGAGGTGTGTGGTTGACTGGCCAGTTCATCACTCTGGTATTCATAACTCTGAGGTTCTACTCTAAATAGATTGAGCTTCCTTAAGCCTACCGTTATAAATTGTGTTTTCCTATCCTTTAATCATTATCATGGCTCTTCTCTGAACCCTCTCCAATTTATCAGCATCCTTCCTGTATTGTTGACATCAGAACTGGACACAGTATTCCAGTAGTCACACGAGTGCTAAATACAAAAGTAATATAAGCTCCCTACTCCTACTACATATTCCTCTGTTTTTATACATCCAAGGATCACATTAGATTTTTTGGCCAGTGTATCACACTGGGAGCTCACATTCAGCTGATTATCCACCATGACCCCCAAGACTTTATACAAATTGCTGCTTCCCAGGAAAGAGTTCTCCATCCTATAAGTATAGCCTACATCTTTTGTTCCTAGAAGTATAACTTTACATTTGGCAATATTAAAATGCATATTGTTTGCTTGGGCCCAATTTACCAAATGATCCAATACTTAAAAGTTCAGCATGATCTGTGTTGTAATTATATAATAATTCAAGTTACACTCCTGTCCAGCATGTTTTAAATTTGCCAGCTTTGCCTTTGTTCTTAATGAAATGTATTGTGCAAAATCATTATCCACCCTATGAAATGATTTACAGCCTTGGGGTGTACATCAGGTCATCTTAAAATCCACTTTGGCATTTTAATTCTATCTTCGCCTTATAAGATGAACAAATTCATGAGAAAAAAACCAATCTCATACAATCCTCTGGAAAGGATGTGATGTAGAAAAGTTCTTACAAATATAAGGATATGTCATCAAAATCTTTTGTCTAAGGTTCTCTCTCTCCAACCCTGCTATGTGAGTTTACAGTCAACTAAGTTTGGGAGTGAAATCTGTGCTCCCATTACAGCCCCTTTCATAGAATCATAGAATAACAGAGTTGGAAGGGACCTCTGGAGGCCATCCAGTCCAATCCCCTGCCCAGAGCAGGACCAATCCCAACTAAATCATCCCAGCCAGGGCTTTGTCAAGCCTGACCTTAAAAACTTCTAAGGAAGGGGATTCCACCATCTCCCTAGGTAACGCATTCCAGTGTTTCACCACCCTCCTAGTGAAAAAGTTTTTCCTAATATCCAACCTAAACCTCCCCCACTGCAACTTGAGACCATTACTCCTTGTCCTGTCATCTGCTATCACTGAGAATAGTCTAGATCCATCCTCTTTGGATCCACCTTTCAGGTAGTTAAAAACAGCTATCAAATCCCCCCTCATTCTTCTCTTCCGTAGACTAAACAATCCCAGCTCCCTCAGCCTCTCCTCATAACTCATGTGTTCCAGGCCCCTAATCATTTTTGTTGCCCTTCGCTGGACTCTCTCCAATTTATCCACATCCTTCTTGTAGTGTGGGGCCCAAAACTGGACACAGTACTCCAGGTGAGGCCTCACCAGTGTCGAATAGAGGGGAACGATCACGTCCCTCGATCTGCTGGCAATGCCCCTACTTATACCCCCAAAATGCCATTGGCCTTCTTGTCAAGAAGGGCACACTGTTGACTCATATCCAGCTTCTCGTCCACTGTCACCCCTAGGTCCTTCTCTGCAGAAACTGCTGCCGAGCCATTCGGTCCCTAGTCTGTAGCGCTGCATTGGATTCTTCTGTCCTAAGTGCAGGACTCTGCACTTGTCCTTGTTGAACCTCATCACATTTCTTTTGGCCCAATCCTCCAATTTGTCTAGGTCCCTCTGTATCCTATCCCTACCCTCCAGCGTATCTACCACTCCTCTCAGTTTAGCGTCATCCGCAAACTTGCTGAGGGTGCAATTCACACCATCCTCCACATCATTAATGAAAATATTGAACAAAACCGGCCCCAGGACCGACCCTAGGGGCACTCCACTAGATACCGGCTGCCAACTAGACATGGAGCCATTGATCACTACCCATTGAGCCCGACAATCTAGCCAACTTTCTACCCACCTTGTAGTGCATCCATCCAGCCCATATTTCTTTAACTTGCTGACAAGAATACTGTGGGAGACCGTGTCAAAAGCTTTGCTAAAGTCGAGGAATAACACTGCTTTCCCTTCCCTTCCCTTCCCTTCCTCCACAGAGCCAGTTATCTCATCATAGAAGGCAATTAGATTAGTCAGGCATGACTTGCCCTTGGTGAATCCATGCTGACTGTTCCTGATCACTTTCCTCTCCTCTAAGTGCTTCAGAATTGATTCCTTGAGGACATGCTCCATGATTTTTCCGGGGACTGAGGTGAGGCTGACCGGCCTGTAGTTCCCAGGATCATCCTTCTTCCCTTTTTTAAAGATGGGCACTACATTAGCCTTTTTCCAATCTTCCGGGACTTCCCCCAATCGCCATGAGTTTTCAAAGATAATGGCCAATGACTCTGCAATCACATCCGCCAATTCCTTTAGCACTCTCGGATGCAGCGCATCCGGCCCCATGGACTTGTGCATGTCCAGTTTTTCTAAATAGTCCCGAACCACTTCTTCCTTCACACAGGGCTGGCCACCTCCTCCCCATGCTGTGCTGCCCAGTGCAGTAGTCTGGGAGCTGACCTTGTTCGTGAAGACAGAGGCAAAAAAAGCATTGAATACATTAGCTTTTTCCACATCCTCTGTCACTAGGTTGCCTCCCTCATTTAGTAAGGGGCCCACACTTTCCTTGGCTTTCTTTTTATTGCCAACAAACCTGAAGAAACCCTTCTTGTTACTCTTACCATCCCTCGCTAGCTGCAACGCCAGGTGTGATTTAGCCTTCCTGATTCCATTCCTACATGCCCGAGCAATATTTATATACTCATCCCTGGTCATCTGTCCAATCTTCCACTTCTTGTAAGCCTCTTTTTTGTGTTTAAGATCAGCAAGGATTTCACTGTTAAGCCAAGCTGGTCGCCTGCCATATTTACTATTCTTTCGACACATCGGGATGGTTTGTCCCTGTAACCTCAATAAGGATTCTTTAAAATACAGCCAGCTCTCCTGGACTCCTTTCCCCTTCATGTTATTCTCCCAGGGGATCTTGCCCATCAGTTCCCTGAGGGAGTCAAAGTCTGCTTTTCTGAAGTCCAGGGTCCGTAATCTGCTGCTTTCCTTTCTTCCTTGTGTCAGGATCCTGAACTCGACCATCTCATGGTCACTGCCTCCCAGGTTCCCATCCACTTTTGCTTCCCCTACTAATTCTTCCCGGTTTGTGAGCAGCAGGTCAAGAAGAGCTCCGCCCCTAGTTGGTTCCTCCAGCACTTGCACCAGGAAATTGTCCCCTACAGTTTCCAAAAACTTCCTGGATTGTCTGTTCACCGCTGTATTGCTCTCCCAGCAGATACCAGGATGATTGAAGTCGCCCATGAGAACCAGGGCGTGCGATCTAGTAGCTTCTGCGACTTGCCGGAAGAAAACCTCGTCCACCTCATCCCCCTGGTCCGGTGGTCTATAGCAGACTCCCACCACGACATCACCCTTGTTGCTCAGGCTTCTAAACTTAATCCAGAGACTCTCAGGT